TATATATATCTATATATATATATATATATTTATTTATATATATAGATAGATGTAGACATAGATAAATAGATACAAAGATAAGTCGATGGTAAATAGATAAATAGATAGATAGATAGATAGATAGATATAGAGATACATAGGTAGACAAGTATAGAGATAGACAAATAGACAGATAGACAAAGAAACATATAGACAAAGAGAAAGATAGACAAATAGACAGATAGACAAATAGACAGATAGACAAATAGACAGATAGACAAATAGACAGATAGACAAATAGACAGATAAACAAGTATATAGATAGACAAATAGACAGAAAGACAAATAGACAGATAGACAAAGAAACAGATAGACAAATAGACAGATAGACAAATAGACAGATAGACAAATAGACAGACATACAATTAGACAGATAGAAAAATAGACAAATAGACAAATAGAAAGATAGAAAAATAGTTAGATAGGCACAAATAGACAGATAGACAGATAGACAGACAAACAATTATACAGATAGATGGACAGCTAGAGAGGGATTTTCTTATTGTTGGAACGGAACCTATAAAAACTAAATTGTATTTTGATAACGAATGGTTAGAACTTAGATCATGCATTTTAGTTCTTTAAACTTCATATAATTACATAGAGAAATATAATTTTCAATATTACATAATGTTTTGGAATAAGGACGGATGTTTTTTTTTATAAAAATAACTTTTAAATTTGTAAAAAAAAATAAAAATTGAGCCAAAACTAGTGATCTAGTGATCTAGTGATCTAGTGATCTAGTGATCTAGTGATCTAGTGATCTAGGGATCTGGTGATCTAGTAGTCCTAATACAATCTCAGGGAACGTGTTTACAACAGTTGAAGATCAATTATGCGTAAAGTTATTGCACCTGCTAATACTAATGCTACAGGAATTTATTAAGAATTCTAGAACTAGGGAACTTTATGTGTCTTATGTCTTAGCTGGCAACATATTCACTGTAAACTCGGGTTTATTTCAAGTACAAGGCCAACCTTTAAGCAGCTAGAGTAGGCATGTACAGAACGCACATTGTGGGAGCCCATGGAGGAGACACATTGAGGACATTAACTGAGGACGTCATTTAGGTTGCATAATTAGGAGACCCATTGATGACGCACACCGATGACGCACACTGAGGACGCACACAGAGGATGAACATTGAGGACGAACACTGAGGACGCACACAGAGAAGGCACAATGAGGATGCACACTAAGGATCGACACATTAAGGACGTACACGGAGGACGCACACAGAGGATACTCATTGAAAACACACATTGAGAAGAACGCACAATGAGGACGCACTTGTTATATTGATACAAACCCAAAGATCACTGATTTGTATAACACGTGATAGGATGCTTTTAAGATGTTCTAAGACAGGATGAGACTTAAATCATAACCTGGAGATTTTAAATGTGAATTTAGTTCTGTCAATTTGTTAAATGCTTAATAATGACGGGCCAAGTTCAGTGCAGGGAATTGTGATTTAAAGAAAATAACTTTATAACTTTTAAGTCAAAATAACTAAGTACTTGCCGCAAACTATAAATCTCTAAATACTTTAAAATTTGACAATTAAATCTAACAAGATTCACAGTTTAAAGTTTAAGTCTCATGATTTCTTTCGTCTTTGCATTTTCCTAAAAGTGGTCTGCCACTTATTTTGTAATATTTTTAGGAATACACTTAAAGGTTTTTATTCATCATAACTTTTTAAATTTGCATAAAATTATTTTTTTATTTGTTTAATTTTCACTAAAATATTTCAAGGTCTCCAGGTAGTTTTCACTCCTCTTCCCCTTCCCCTTCCCCGCCCCCCTCTCTTCCCCCCTTCTCCTGTAATCCCTTTGCTTCCTCTTTGGAATCCACTTTGCTCCTCAATCCCTTTGTTTTGTTTTCCAAGTTTTGAAGTTGGAATTCTTGTTTTTCTATCCAACTCCCTTTTCTAATAATTGAATAGTTATTTATAATTTTTGAATTTATAAATATTTCATGCTTTTCCCTCTTTTAGAAGACGACATTTAAAAACAGCTGGCAAAATACATTGTTTCACCAAATTTTGGGGGCGGGAAGTCCTGCGCCACCCCACCCTCCATATAAAAAAATGTCTTTCGTAAAAATTTTGGAGTTCAAACTTCCAATTTACATGTTCGCAAAAATATGCCCAATTTTTTAAGGTGAGCTCATTAAAAAAATAGCTCACTAATTTCAACAGTCAGGGTGATTTTGAGTAAGGGAGGTGTGAAAAAAATAGCCAAAAAAACTTGGAATAATTCAAAAGAAAATTTTTTTGGGAATTGCAGCTATAGTAAAAAAAGCATTTCCGCCTAAAAAGAATATTGCAAAAATAGATGTCAATACGAATTTAGGGGGGGGGCACCAAACTCTCCTTCCCTCACCCAGTCTGGTTAGGGTTAAACACAAATATCTCATTTTGTAATCTCTAAGGAATGAAAAAGTTTTGATTTTCCTTTTCCTTCTAAACGTAGAATAGAGGTCATTTGAAAGCTACAGGGTGTCCAAAGAAACATGACAGTTGGTCAATAGTTTAGAATGTCTACTTCCATAATCTTAATTAAGTTGTTTGATACCAAAGGCAACAATACAAATTAGCGGAATAAACTGCAAAAAGCCTTTAATATCTGATAAACTATATAAAATACGACTTTCATAACAATTTACCAACTGTCATGTTTGGGACACCCTGTATTCAATATTTTGATGCTCTGTGGAACGCAAATCAATCATTTCTATCATTCCTTATAAGGTTTTGTAGGACCATCCACCATATCTTCTTTTTTATCCTTCTTACCCTCCTCAACCTCGTCATCCTCTGTGTCAGTATCATCTTTCTTATCTTCAAGTTCTATCAGATTTTTCTCAGCTTGCTCGAATCCAGATATTCCTGCCTCCTTCGCCATTAAAGCAAATATACTCTCAGGATCCGCCATTAATCTAGAAGAAAATAAAAGCTATGGAATATGAAGACGACATTTAAATAATCTTTTATGTTATTATTGTTATTAAGCACATAATTCCAATTCAGTTAATTGAACATCAGTTTATTTAGTGAAATGTGTCTGTGTAAACATCACAATTGTTCAATATTTATTGCAAAATGGACTATTCAAAATCATAAATTGATTCTAACAGTCGTCTTCTTACATCACAGTTGTTGGGGCCTTTGTGTTTAGAAGGATAATCTTTAGTTGTAAAATTAATCAAATGAAAAAAATTATACCATCTAATAGTAAGGGTTATATTAATAATAATAATAATAATAATGATAATAATAATAGTAATATAATAATAATAATAATAATAGTAATAATAATAATAATAATAAAAATAATAATAATAATAATAATAATAATAATAATGATAATAATAATAATAATAATAATAATAATAATAATAATAATAATAATAATAATAATAATAATAATAATAATAATAATAATAATGATAATAATAATAATAATAATAATAATAATAATAATAATAATAATAATACTTGTCTGGAGGTCCTGCCTCTTGTATCTTCCCCTCTGAAAGGACCACCACGAGGTTGCTGTCCATGATGGTGTTTATCCTGTGCGCTATTGTGATGATAGTTGTACTTTTAAACTCACTTCGAATAGTTTCCTTAAAATATTTGTTTTCAGTGCTGATCCTTTAATACCTGGATCCTTATATACATGGATCCTTCAATACCTGGATCTTTAAATCCATGTATCCGTCTTTATTTGGATCTTTCGATACCTGGATCTTTCAATCCATGGATCCTTCAATACCTGGATCCTTTAATACCTGGGTATTCATAACTGGATTCTTCAATACATGGATCCTTCAAAACCAGGATCCTTCAATCCATGTATCCTTCTATACCTGGATCCTTCAATATATGGATCCTTTAATACTGGAATCCTGGTACTACTACTACTAGAGATGGGACTAATTTACACTGCCTAAACTGTAAAAATAAGGAAACTTTTAATTTGATGAGATTAAATACCAAATTCATGAAAAAAGTTACTTTTATTTTTGTCGTAATTCGGCATTGGCCGAAGGTAGATTTTGGTGTCTTTTAATTTAAAAAAGGAACTATAACTCATTCTTTCGGACTTCAAAATATTTAATTTAGAGCTTACTGTAGGGATTAAAAGCTCACAAGTTATGAGCTCCGATCTCCGTTTACCTGGATAAGATCATCTGTCTCAAGATCAATAGCAGCAGTAGCTTCATCCAAGATCAATATATTGGATTTACGAAGAAGTGCTCTAGCGAGACAAACTAGCTGACGTTGACCGACAGATAGATTCTCACCACCCTCGCTTATCTAACAAAATTTACTTTAAAGGGACTGTAAGCGTGACTTCAAGTGAACCTCCAAGCAAAGATTCCCAACGACACCCTTTAAAGCTTCTAATCTAGAATAAATTAGATATAAAGGTTCATAATTTTAAAAATTTAGTTTTTTCAAATGTGGTTTATCTACAAAAGCGGCTCGCGCATTTATACTGCAGGAAAAAATAAAAAAAATTAAGAATTAAATACTTTAAACCCTAAACAATAGATAAGATTTCAAGAGTACCGTTGTGAATCGGGCATTGCCATCTTTGTATGGAGTTTCACTTCGGCCCCTGTTTGAAATTTTCCTCAAACTTGAGCCAGATTCACCATCAGTCTTTAAATCTTGTTAAATTGAAAAGCTAAATATTCCAAATAATTAAAAAATATTTTATTCTATTATAATTTGAAATATATTACCATATAATCCAATCCCTGGTTGAGAGTCTTTACATACGTACTACAAAAATAAACAACTGTATAAAAATACTTTTTACAAACTTGGTTTGGTTGTTTAAAAATATTAGGCATTAATTTATAATGATACAACTTCATAACCAGATAAAATCGAAAGTCGTGGTTTAATGTTTTAATAATAATTCCAGTCATGTTTATAACAATAACATATTATTAAATACTTAGCAACATATCTAAATAAGACGAGTAAATTCAGCTTTTCACTGTTTACGACTGCAAAGTAAAATCAACGACGATATCTTCCACATTATAAATCAAGAAGGTTAAAAGGATACCGTGGTTACAAAATGGATGGTTACTTGAAACTTCTTTTACAGTTCCTTTAAAGTCGGTTTGTTGTCTAAATTCTATATCATTTTGAAGTTGACCTGAGATGCCCTAACTCCAGAGCTCTCCAGAGCTGCTGGTCAGAACACTCATTGAAGGGATCCAGGTTCATCCTCAGAGAACCAGAGAACAAAACCGGATCCTGTTTTTGTTTTATTTAGTAATAATTTTCGTCCAACTAGAGTAAATGGAATGTAAAATTGAAATCTTATGTGTTCAAACATTACTCCTTTAATTGGAGAGCTATTGAAAGAACAAAAATGTTTAGATTTTTTAAAATTTCTGTTAAATTTGCTTTTTCATACTTTAAATTTAAAACTAGAGGAGCTACGAGTGAACAAAGTCGTAGTATAATGTCGCATAAAGGAATTGAATTTTTGCCACAAACTCTGATTTTCTAATTCCTTTCAACCCGTTTTCCTAGACCTTTGATATTTCAAACTATTAATTCTGTTCAATCAAATAGTCTAAGTTTGAAATATCAAAGGTTTACACCATCAGGTTGCAAAGATATAGGGGTTAGAAAATGCGAGTTTGTGGCAAAAACTTAACTCCTTTGTACCTTCTACTTAAGTCTAGTTCACAGTGTATAAGTATAGTTTATAGATTACTTAAAAATTGTCTTCCATTATTCGTCCATTTGGTTTTGTTTAGGTTTAGATAATTTTGTTCTTATTTCAAATAATTTTCTAAATTCTCTGGTAATTTTGAAAGAACAAAAAAGCAGACCACAATTTGGAAATCCCAGAACTATTGTTTTTTTTGCGTGATTATTATATTCTTGTAAAATCAGGATAGTAATGAATTCTACAAATGATTTCAAAGATTTAAAATTGATATCAATAAAAGGTATAAAACACAAACATTAAAGAAATAAACACAGTTGAGATAAAAATAAAATAAAATCTTCTAGACAAACCTAAAAAATGTCCATTTTCCACAGGTTTTTAGAGATGTCAAAAATGTTCAAAATTGAATCATTATGAGTACTACAATGTCGTAAAGAGCATTTTTTAGAGACACCTTGTATATCATTTTTTTACCTGGGGAATAATTGTGAGTCTAGACCTCAGAGTTCCGAGACCAATTTTTGAAATATCAACACCATCAATTTCTATAGTTCCACTTTAATAGTTATATGAATAAACTTTGGACAAATATGGAAAATAAAAATCTGAAATAAAAATTGCATATCATTTTGTAACATAAAGTTTATTTTCATTCCTGGTTGACTCAATAATCCTGAATAAAGGAAGTTATAAAAAGATTAGAATTAGAAATGAGAAAAATTAATTATTTAATTACAAAATTGATTTTGTTGTATACCTGAACAAGGATAGAGTTAATGATGACTTCCCTGCACCTGTCCTACCCACCACACCAACTTTCATGCCAGGGGAAATATGTAGATCAACACCCTTTAGTACCAGATCAAGACCTTCCCTGTATCTGAAATTTTGAAATTAAAACAACATTAAAAGAAATTTTATCTTTATGTCGAAAGATCTAAAATGATTTTAAATGACCATAAATGATCACTCTTAAAAAAATGTTATGCAGAGCGCTAACTTGATCCTTCATATGGAGGTCTTTAAGAACCATCTATAGACTGGCCAACCATTGACTTGCAATTCAATCAGAAAAGAACGAATAGAAATTACTTTTTACAATGTATCATTGTTATCAATTATGAATTCTAATTTCTACCTTGTTTGAAGTCCCTTAAACTGCACTGCTCCGAACTCGGGCCAATCTCCTTTTGGGTCTTTTTCTGTTTGCCATGGCGCTTCTTGGGGTAGTCCATTCTGGTATTCTTTTACTCGTTCAACACTCACCATGTTGTTTTCTATTTGACTTGTTTGTCTGATCAGCAAGTTAAGGCTCTGAGTTATCTGCATTGCATAAGACAGTGACAGCCCAACAATTCCAGGATCTAAAGTATCTCGACCCAGAATTGCAAAAAGCGCTGCAAACAATATAATTAGATTTCCCAGCATTTCAAGTCTTATAGACAGCCATCTATTTGAAATTATATTGGGTTCGGCACAAGACTGATTCACATCAATCTTATTTTCAATTTCTGTGATAAATCTGTCTTGAATATTGAAAGCTTTGATTGTTGATACTCCACTGATAGATTCTCCAAACCAACTATATATTGGAGATCTTGTGCTTGACTCAAGTCTCCTAAGCTGTCTTGATGTAGCTACATAGATCTTTTGTACAAACATGTACAACAAACTTAGAGGAATAAAGACAGCTATGAAAATTGGACTGGTGTAACTGATAACAGCAATGGTTCCAACAACTGAAAATCCTAACCTGAGTAGAGCTGAAAATGTCATTGGAATAGATCGATCAATAAAATCAATATCCTTTGCAAATCTATTTACAATTCTCCCCTTGGGCGTTGTGTCAAAAAATGACATTGGAGCTCTGAGTACCCCAGCAAGCATCCTGTTGTGAAGAATGGAAGAGGCATTTAGTCCACCAACGGCTGTTACCAAAGAGGATATGCATATAGTTGCTGCTGAGAGAGATCCTAAAGTTCCATAAACACCAAGGTAAACATTTCTGATTGAAGCTTCTGCAGAATCAGGATCATCAGACCATACTGATAGCCAAACATTGGTTCCTATTGTCAACCCTTGTGTCATTATGTTTAACAATATTATAGTAATCACTGCAAGTATACCAACGGAATTGAAATAAAATCTATACACTGCATTTGCCACCGCTTTAGTTTCAACCTTTTCTAAAGTCATCAAATCTCCTCCTCCTCTAAATCCTTTACCCTGCCCTCCACTTCTGTTGCCCAAGAGTGCATCTTTTCCAGGTATTTTACTTCCGAGTCCACCATATCCTCCAGGTTTACCTGGCTTGAGGGGAGTTTTTTCATCTTGAATAGACTTGTTTTTAACAGAAGCTTCATCTACTACTCCTTTTGAAAAAACTGAAAAAGTTTTTACCTTTAAGAAAGGCCTTTCTTTTAACAGTGGCTGAATCTTTCTTTCTATAGTACCAGTAGTGTATCCTGAAATATTACTATGAGCCCCACTGCTCCGACTTCTTGCTTTACCAAGCTCAACTTCCAGTTTGTCCAGACCTAGCTTCTTTGCTAATTCTTTCTTTACATCTTCTACAGTTTCTGTGTCTTGTCCCAACATCTTATCCTCTTCTTCGTTGATGTACTGAATGAGAAAATCTGCAAATTCTTTTCCTTGGTCTAAGAGTTCTCGATATGTCCCTGACTCAGATATCATACCATCTTTCAATACAATGATGTTATCCATTTCGGGTAAATACTTAACACCATGAGTAACAAGCACTCTGGTCTTATTTTTCAATAAACCATTAGGACCTATAACATTTTCATATATGTGCTGACCAACATGAGCATCTACTGCAGACAATGGATCATCAAGCAGATATATGTCTCCATTGCTGTAAACAGCTCTTGCCATAGAAACCCTTTGTTTTTGTCCTCCCGACAAATTAATCCCTTTCTCTCCGATTTCTGTCAAATCTCTGTTCGGCAGAATTTCAAAATCTGATTTTAATGCACAAGAATCTATAACTTTTTCATACAATCTTTCATTGAATTGTCTTCCAAATGTTATATTATACTGCAAGGATGCATTCTGCATCCATGCTTGTTGTGGAACATAGGAAACATTTCCCAAAACATTAATCATAGTGTTCAAGCCTGCTCTCTCAAGCTCACCAATTAGAGAGGACAGAAGAGATGATTTACCTGACCCAACTTGACCCACAATTGCAACCATTTCACCACGTTTTATCTTGAGGTCAATGTTTTTCAGAACTGGTTCGGATTCCTTATCCCATGTTAGGTTTCCATTTATGACATTTATAGCCAAATCATCTCCATCGTCGTAATGAGTTACATTTGAAGCACTGACTTCTGGAGCATTAAGATAATTGTTTAAACGATCAAGAGATACTGTTGCAGATATCATTTGAGTAATCAACCCTGGCAACTGATTTAAAGGTCTTCTAATTATGTTAAAATAGGAAATGGATACAAATGCAATATCTGCATTTAAAATGTTATCCGGACTTGAGAGAACAAATGATGTGAATGAAGCTAGGGCTACAAAAAACGGAGTAGAATTAAAAATGAAAGTCTGTATTGCTCCCAGGTAAGACATTCTTTTCAAATTTTCTACTTCAGTCAATCTGATATCTGTTATTTGCTGTTCAAAGCTTGGTTCCCAAGCATAAAGCTTTAGAACCTTAACTCCTTCGAGAATCTCATTCATTGCCTTCATTCTAGCATCCTTGTTTTTCATGTTCATTTTTTGATACTTTTTCATTTCCGAGGAGAGATATGCATTGATGGGTATGATCAGCACCATAACTAAAAGTCCAGCTAATGATGATGGTCCAAGGTATGCCCATAGAGAATAGAGAGACAATCCAAGCGTAAGAGGACTAGACCACAGTAAGTTAAGGCTCATTATAACATCCATAATTCTTTGTGTATCTATTGACATTAGGTTTACTGTTTCTCCAACAGATAACTCTTTTCTTGATTTGCTTGAAAGCCGTAACGATTTACGAAACAAAGCACAAGTTAACGCAGATCTCATCCTTAGGCCGATAAGTTGCTGGTCTTTGAAATATTGTGAATTAAGAATAGTTATCAGTAGATTTACTCCTACTAGAAGACTCATATACAGATATCCTTTCCATTCTTCTTCATCAGAGCTGATGAAATTAATCAAAAAACCAAGAATCTGAAAAAAGAAAATGAACCTCCGGTTTGGTAATCAATGCAGTTTTTAATCTTCCCTCTACCTGTGGAGTAACTTGCTGAAATAGAACGACAAGAAGTTGAATAAAAGAGGAGCCAAGATAAATCCAGCAGAATGTTCGGAATAAAGGAAATAAAATTGAAGTACTCTTCTTTTTCTTTTGGTTCGCTGTATATTCTTTGATCCAAAATTTATTCCATTTAGGAAAAACAAGACTACAACGTTCTCTAAAAAAAATGTAAGAAATAAAAACCAGCCTATATTTATTTTATTTTTCACCTTAAACTGAGTTTAGGAAGTTTTTCTAGAGTAAGAGGAGTCTTCCAACCCATCCTAATGATTCTATCAAAGTAAGCGAATGTGATTCTGCTGGGAAAAGAGGCATTTTCATTGGACATATCATCCTCTCGCATATCTATAAATTTACAATTATAAAAGCTTAACTGCAAGCTTAACTTGCTTTACAATACTTCTATATATATACTTTGCTTAGGTGTCCGTCTGTTTGTATCCAAAAAACATAAAACGGCTGAACCGATTCTGGCCAAATTTTTTTCAAATTCCGCACAAAAATCAATAATCAGCAATAGGAATTGAGTCTTAGCCACAAACAAAATGTTCTAATTCCCTAATATTTGCAACCTGATATTGTGTATTCCTTTGATATTTCAAACTCAGATTTAGGGGATCCATCAGATTTTAGAGCTTGAAATAACTAAGCTCTCCGACATTGTCTGAGTTTGTGATAAAGCTCAATTCTTTTGCTTTGTTCTTATTTTCATTTAAGAAAGAGGTACTCAAAGATATTAAAAAATTGTACACATTATTGGTTGGTTATTACACTAAGCTAGATTTTAACCATAAAAACCTTCACAAAAGATTGGTTGAGCTTTATTTCAAATCTAGTAAGCATGTCGCTTAGTGTAAAAAAGTAAACAATAAAATACCATCGAGTTGCACACTAGCAGGAGGGGGATCAGCCCAGAAATGCAGAAAAAACACGACCAGAATTAAACAATATTCAGCATAGAACAGTTCACTGCTATAAACCTAAACATTATCTTTAATCAATAGAGTTGGTTTACTTTCAAATGGTTTTCCATATACAAAATCAAGCTTAAACATTTGTATTGTTTATCTCAGGATTAAGAGGCTCTTCATATTTTTGTCGGAAAGAGAATTAAATTAATTCCCCTTAGATTTCTAAAAAATATAATCATTAAAATTTTTGGAACAGTCCATTATCTGTGCAATGATGTCGGTTTTCTGTTAAAATAAATTAAACAAATTTTTCCGTACATTTAACATTGTCTAACTTTATTTCATGAAAAAAGTGATAATTAAGAAACCAAAAACAAGCAAAACTGAAGGAAAATTGTCGGGGAAAAAAACATATGATTTTTAAAATAAAGAATGAGTTTTGAACCTGGTGGATGATATCTCCAAATCTAACAACTGAAGCAAAAGTGATTGACTGAAGACCTGCTACCAGGAAGAATAGAGAGAAGAGAATACCAGAACTCTGGATCCCAAACCGTATATTACCAACCATCAGCAGAACAACTGAAAAAGAATAACCTGTATTTGAAATGGCTCAAAGGGCTGTAAACGCATTTTCAAGTGACCCTAAAAGGCAAAAATAGCAACGCTGATTCAAAACAGTATCCTTGAAACTTTTATCTGATCAATCATAGATTAATAAAAATACAGACAGAACACTAAAAGTAGTCTTTTCAAAATTTAGGGGTTTTTCGTTCACAATAATTGTGCGTGATACGTCAAAAGGAGATAAGCGCATGCTGCGTTGAATTACCAGACAGATAGATAGCCTGTTCTACTCCTTTTGGCTTTTACCTCAGGGTTATTGTGAACGAAACCCTTAAATCTTGAAAAGACAACATCTAGTATTCTGTCTGTATTTTTATTAATCTATGATTGATCAGATTTCAAGGATACCGTTTTAATCAGGCATTGCCATTTTTGCATGAAGGATCACTTAAATTTACGCTTACAGTTCCTTTTAAATAATGTAATCAATAAAAAGGAAGATATTGCATTTTTCTAATTTAGTATTCAATTCTGATAGTTCCTACAGGTATTTATGCAGTAGAAACGCACAAGTCACTTTTCATAAGAGAAACTACATTTCAAAAGTAATAACTTTTATATATTATTTACACTAAATCAGACAAAGCTATGAAGGGTGCCGTTGTGAATCGGACATTGCCATATTTTCATGGAGGGGCACACTCACACTCACTTGAAATTACGCCTTCACTTCTTTTAACTCAAACAACGGTTCTGATTTGCAACAATACCTTATAGACCTTTTTCTGATTTAGGATTAGGGGAATATTTTTATTTTTAAAGCTGGAAATCTAGTGGATATTCATGTCATCCATCCTCGGACAAAGGTATATAGGGTATCCTTGAGAATTGGACATAACACTTACAAAATGGAGGGTCTCTTTAAATTACGTGTACGGTTTCTTCCAGAGGGTCTGTACATTTCTAAACTTTAGACTGCAAAATGTCCTTACCCGAAAAATACAAAAATGCCTTCCCAATGGGAGCCAGGATATCAGCCACTGGTTTAAACTCATGGTGCTCTGCTACACTTACACCAAGCTCAGCTAGAGACAAACCTGGAGAAATAATGATGATAATGATGATAATGATGATAATTGTGATAATGATGATAATAATGATAATGATGATAATGATGATGATGATGATAATGATGATAATGATAATAATGATGATAATGATGATAATGATGATAATGATGATAATGATGATAATATACCAACTAATACAGCTGTGAACCCAATTCTTCCTCCATTAAGGAATGTCAATGGAATGTTTCTAAAAAATTAAATAATTATTTATATTTGATGATTATGATTAAAGCACATCAGATCAATGTGTCCATTTTATTTCCCGTTAAACTTAATTATTTCATTCTTTAAATCATTATCCTTGAAACTTTCGAAATAATATTCCTTTATAATTTAAATGTATTTTACAAAAAAACAACCAAAAAAGTCAGAAAATCACTATTATAACTGTTTTATTCTTAAGGAATATATAAAATACTGCTTACATTGAGGTATTAAGTAAAATGACAATTTTTTTTAATTAAATAAGTTCAAAAATTACTTTTGAAAAAAAATTTATATAAAATGATGCATCCTTTTCTACCATTATAATAAAAATCCTAGAACAAATTTTTTTCAAATGTGCAAATAAATTTGAAAAAAGTTTTTTTTTCACCTATCATAAAAAATGAAGAAAACATATTTAACTTTTTTAGGTTTGGAACAAGGGATAATTTTCCGACTTTTTTAGAAACTCAGTTTTATCTTTAAGATGAATAAAATGTTCTACCTTCTCCTGCTGATTTTCATGAAATATATTTCCAAGGGGGAACTCAGCAGTAAGAATAGAACTGGGATGTACACAATGACGGTCTGTACGCAGATAGATCATGAGTACAAATTGCGGATTTACAGTTCGATCCTTATACGATTAGAATTTGACTTAATAAACAATTTTTTTTCCTTTCCTCTTTACAATTTTTGTGTCGACAAATACGTTTATAACTATTCAAAACACTGTTATTTTGGTTCTCAGTGTTATAAAGTTTTTGGACAGAAATTTTCTCTATCGAGGGACAAAATATATTCTAATAAGGCGAGAACCTTCGAGATATAGAGAAAAATAATACTGTTATAGGTAATTTAATGAAACGTTTGTGTACTTGTCTTATTTCAAGATCAAATAAGCTTTGGGACAAAGCAGACGTCAAAATATAAAGTTGATTTCAATTTTAATTTTATTTCAATTGAAAAAAAATATTTTGAAATATTATCCTAAATTTTTTTGAGAAAATCGGGGAACCAATCAAAACTTGATAGCACACGCATGCTTGTACAGCTAATTTAACTTTATAGCACGATAATTACTTTAGAGCACGTTCATTATGAAATTCACGTTGAAGTGAGGAAGAATAATGAAGTACACAATAGTTTCATAAAATGAAAAAGTATATAAGACAACTCTGTAAATTTAAATTGATTGTAAAAAAAGAATTATATACCAAATACCAAAAGCGAACGCATTTCGCCCTAGTTAGTCCAGAGCTGAAAACTTTAGAATGAGATATCCTTAATCCCGATTACTTAATTTGAGTATCCAATGAAGACACTTTTGATTTTCTTCTTAAACCATTTTTCTTGGATAAAGTGGAGAAAAAGATCAAAAACCGGTTTTTCTAAATTAGAGAGTCCCTCCCGTCTCTGTATATAATCTTAAATGACGCGTAAAATTTAAAATTTATCGGCCTTATAATCGCGACTCTGATTGGTTGAATTTTATACACTTTTCAGGTTACAAGTACAAGATTAGGTTAGTCTCGATATTAAGAAAAAGAGAGGATCAAGCATTAATCTCGATATCCACCATTCTAAAGTTTCCAGCTCAGGGTGATTAGATTAGCGATAAAAGTGCAGTTCTTGATTATCTGGCTCATCTTCTGGTTTAAAGCTTAAATTTACTGGAAAATTGAGAATCAACCTTCATTAGCACATATAATTAAATGATAAGAGTAACATACTTGTGTACGCACTTTAACTTAATGTTTACCATTAAAATTTATGCTTTTATATGTAGTTATTTGTTTGTTCCAGGGCCAGGTTTAATGAATAACGAATCGTACAGACTTAGTTCAACCACTTCTTATCACTGTGAACTGGCACACAAGAGAAGATAATGAACTGCGTCTGCGCGGTTTAGCTACTTCTAGCTATTAATCTATATAATAAAGCTCTTCGCTCATATATATAAATTTGTATATTTATACATTTTTTTACATATATATTAGCTATAGCTGGCTAAACGGATTGACCGAATTGGCTGAAGTTTTTGAGGAAACCCTTGAGTACCTCGGGGGTAACCATGGATAAAAAATTCGAATTTTTGTTCTTCAAAAATCTATTTTTTTTTAATTCGAAGTTTTTTTTCTCCAGTTTTTTTTTTAATTTCATGCGGACACTTCAACTACTAAAATATATTTTAAAAACTTACATCTAAATTTTAAGACGATATAATTATTTGAATATTTTTAATTATAAAGAGTATATTTTTCATCAAAATATTTAAAAATATCTGAGGTCGAAATAATTGAATAGGAAAAGTTAAACTAGATATGATGAGAAACCCCATTTCTCATTTAATTTCAATAATTTTAATAAATCTTACCTTATAATTAAGCTTTCTGCAGTACAGTGTGTAAAAGCTTTTCTAATCCAGAAAACGTATTTTTGTCTGTAATTTTCGTGCACTATCAAATCCCTGCTTTAGATAATTTTTCTAAAAAAATTTTAAGGTTTTAACTAATTGAAACAGCAAAATATATATAATACACATAGAAAAAAAACTTTAAAATATGACGGAAACGTACTTTTGATCGATTTTCAAAATTCTTGTTTTTACTTTGAAGAGGGTTCAATGTTTGTCATAAATGTAGAAATTGTATACTCTTTAACTTTTTTATTATAACACCGTTCAACATTCTTAATCGGAGGTAAAATTCAACGTCTAACCTAAATAAGAAAAGAATTTCCGTATGATAGTACCAGCTTTCCCTGAAAAGTCAACCAACTCAACTTAGATATTGAAAACAAAGGTTAGAACATTCCTGCATGGTTTTACTAAGTTCTCCATTTAAATTTTGAGGCAAATCGGTCACGAAGTTTCTAATTAAAGATCATATAATATGGGTAATTGCTACTTAATAAATATCTATAAATATTTATTTTTATATA